GTGCATGGGTGCCATAATATCACTTCACTTCCAGAAATGAGGGGGATGAGATCTCTACAGCGTATATTGGTGTATGGATGCAATAATCTCACTTTCCTTCCTAAAATGAGTGGGACCAATATCTACAGTACCTAGAGGTATATAGATGCAAAAATCTCACTTTGCTTCATGAATTGAGTGGAATGGAATCTCTACAGTATCTAGAGGTGTATAGATGCAAAAATCTCACTTCGCTTCATGAATTGAGTGGGATGTATATAAGTGTTATGCCCTAAATCTAATCGATTTAGGTTCACGTATGGTACTTCTTACTTGTAAAATAAGTAGCTGATCTCACAAGCTAAAGTGTTGAGACACTTAAATGAACGCATGGATGTTTTGTTATAGAACAAAACATTGGAAACCCGTCGAGAGATTCCACATGGATAACTATCTGAGTGTTAGTGGTTAATCTCTAACGTCCAGTAGTGAAATTGGTCCTTTGACTTAAGGTCGTCATAGTGCCTTGTATGAGAACAGTCATATTTTGACAGTGTTGGATATTGTTCTGGCAAGGGTTGCTAATATGATATTGTTCGGGTATGTTAAGAATCATATGAAAATAGTAAATGACCAATAAAGGATTCGTCACTCTTAAATAGTAAGAAATTATGATCTGAATTTCATTCAATTAAGTCGATAACGAAATCCTTGGCTAAAGTATATTCAGAAGTTGAAAATGGGTTTTCAACTTATATAGACTTAATAGTTAAATGAAAGATATGATCGATAATCGAGATCGACACACTTCCACATCCAGTACTTAATCGGATCATATTGATAAAAGGATTATAGTTTCACGATAAATGAACAAGTTTGATTTTGTCATACCACTTGACATTTTCCATCACATGTATTACATTGACACATTGCTAGATGTTAGTCTAGGATGACGAGTAACTTCACGTTTCTAGGTATCGTGATTGGGAATCTGATGGGTCGCACACGAAAAGAGAATTGAAATATTGTAATTTGTCAATTAATTAATTTAACAAGCATTGAATAATTAATTAACTGTGTTTCTTATTTATAGGTCCGAATTGATTAATTGAATTAATTAATTTATGGACCGAATTTAATTAAATGGGTTAATTAAATGTCGGACCGAATCAGGCCAAGCCCGTTTGGACTTATATAAATATGTTATCATAATTCTTGCTAGCATAAGAGAAGAAAACATTGGTAGCTAAAATATTTTCTCTTTGTGGAATTTCATTGGAGGCTGGACAATTGGACAACTGTGGATGATAGATCAAGACTGCTAGAACAAGGGAAAAGCAAATGAGTTTGCAGATCTCGAAAATTAAAGGTGTAACTTTTATCACAATTCCTATCTAAATAGATTGATGATTTCTGGTGGGAATTGAAATTTGTTTTAATTTCGCTGTGCATAATAAGTAAATTCTCAACAATGGAATCTCTACAAATATCTTACCGTATTGTTTTGCAATAATCTCACTTCGTTCCCTAAATTGAGTGGTGTGGGATGCCTTAATAGCTTAAGAGTATTGAACATTGGGGCATTCTCAAATTCAATGCAGTACAATTCATTTCAAGATTCTCTTGATGGCATCGAACACATAAAATCCCTTTTGAAATTATACTTGTATGGTCTAGCAGAATGGGTATCCCTATTAGATCAGATTCAACATCTCACTTCCTTGAAAAAATTGGAAATAGAATGTTTTGGAATGGAAGCATTGCCCAGTTGGTTTGGGAATTTGTCATCTCTTGAAGAATTAATACTTGAGCGTTGTTTAAAGCTTAGGCATCTGCCATCTGAAGAAGCTATGCAACGACTCACCAAATTAAGATAATTAGTCATCATGTTGTGTCCACTGTTGAGGGAGAGGTGCAGGCAAGAAAGCTGTCCAAATTCTGAGGGGCCCAAGATTTCATATATTCCTAGTGCACAAATTGATGGACATTTGGTGCTCCGTTAAGCATATTTCAGGTTTGAATATTGACTTTATACTTGTCATTAGTTTCGATCAGTGTATGTTCTAAGTACGTAATGTTACAGGTTGGGAACGATTAATGTTGCTAATAGATAAAGAGTTAAGAGCCCGCCTCAGATTGCCCATTGGTTCGGTCGAATGAGATAGAGGTGCATCAAACCAAGATTTATCGGTTAATCATGTATCAGTTAAATGATTTATTATCATCATTTATCCTATTTTTCCTGTAGATTAGTTAGTATACTTAAATTAATTATTTACTAATAATTGGTTAAATTATTAACCAATTATTCAGGTGCAACACGAGGTGAAGGACGTGATTTGCCTTTGACATTTAGAAAGAGATTGAGCAAGATAAAACTTTGACCAAAGAAGATCGTGAATCTTAGATCAGAAACTCTTGAAGTTGCTAATTGTTTATATTTTCAACTTGTTAAAAAAATAAGTAAAACTATACTATTTTTATGTTAATTTTTTGAAATGGTTCCCTGGGTGCCCGTCATAATAGATATTCGAATGGTAAGAACACGGTAAAATAATCTATCAAGAGAACCCTTTACGCGGCAATCCAAATTTTCGTCTTATAATTCTAGAGGATGAAAAAACAACGGTTCCATCCTAGGCTTTGAATGTTAAATGAGAAAATGTATTCTAGTCGGTGAAACCCGACCAATTTGTTGTTGGTAAGTAAAAACAAAAAAAACTCTATCATTTCCGGCTAAAAATACATTCTGGTCAGTGAAACCCTTTGCTGGCTGGTTTTTGGCGACTAGCTACCAACCAACATTTTCTAGTAGATTAAAATAGAATTATTCTACTTGGCCAGGGCCAAGTGACAGGCCCTAGTGACAGAAGCCGAGGTGCTTGCACCTCGGCCATTCATCTGAATAGCTAAAAAAAAAAATGAATTTCAGATATCGGGTTGAGGTGCCACCTCACCCCCTGTCCCCATCTTTGTCAGTGTAGCGGGGCTGATTAAAATAAGCAGAAACTCAAGTGGGGCAGTGCTGCCACGTTCGGTCTTCTGAAGGGCAGAATTATTTTTTTATTTTTTTCAAGATAGGTACCTTTTGTTTCAGTTTTAAAAAGTTAGATCTACATAATATTACGAAATCCAAACGAAGTTGACTGACCACCGTAAAATATTGCAAACAGAAAAATTCCATTATTGAACAATTCTTTTTTTTTTTTAATATATAAACTGTTCGATTTATTTTTGTTTTTCATATTTTTTTTATATACTGAAACTTAAATCAAACAACTTCTTCGCTATTTTGGTTTGGTTCAAAATCAACAATTCCATACCAGTGATTCGTAGTCTAACGGTTTACTTGTGCAGCCCAAATTACCATCATGAAACTTGATCATTCTTGAGAGTTTAAAAATTAAAAAAAAAACTAAAAAATTGGAGGCTCTAATTTATAATCAAGTCCTTAATATTCTTTATTATTTAATTGACAATATGGTTTAAGTATATAATTTTTTTTTTCTTTTTGAAACTTAATTGTTCTTCGTTATTGGATTGGGTATTTCCGACACAGTTTAAGTGAAAGTTGAAGAACACCTTCTTACAGGGAGGAGCCATTAGTGAGATATCACTCTCGACATTAGTTTAATAAAATTCTTCCCCATTCTTCTTTGAAAACACCAATTCAAGTAACGTAAAAAACCATTTAATGAACTATTTTTCAACTATTTTGAAGCCAAATTAAAATTCAATGACTCGATTAGGAAAAATTAAATTTTAGTAATTCAAATATTTCACTAAAGTTCCGATGAGAATAATCCCATTTTCTATATTTTACATATTTTCTTCAACATTTTTTTATTAAATAATATTGGTAACTCTTAATGCATTTAGTAAGTAATTAATGACCTATTTAGATGTTTAACCACAACAAGCTTTTACATTAAATGCATCAAACTTTGTCATTGGAGAATATCTATTTCTTTAAATATTTTCTTCAACTTTTTTTAAAAATAATAAATATTGGTAACTCTTAATGCATTTAGTTGGTAATTAATGACCTATTTAGATGCTTAATCACAACAAACTTTTACATTAAAAGTCTTTAATGTTGTCCATGTGAAGGGGTAATTTTCATCAAATTTTTTAGTGAAATAATTGAGTTACTAAATTTAATTTGTCCCAATCGATTCATCGAACTTTAATTTTGTTTAAAATTTTCTCTCCATTAGCAAAATTATTTAATTGCCGGTCATATGCAAAATTTTTTCCATATAATCAATATGTGACGTCCCAACTTACACTACATCGCATTGCATCATAAAAGTATTAAAAAGAAAATACATATTTTTAACTTTTTAAGCTAATATAAGCTTTTGTTTGTTTTTCATTAGCTGCTCATTAAAAAGAAAAATTTGACCGTTATCCATCACATCAAGCTATCATATTTGACTTTATATCTCTTATGTAGGGCCCGTAATGACTATATTTTTCATTCTCATTCTTACGTTAATGTAACTCAAACGGGGCCTAATTGTAGTAACCCCTCTTTTATCATTTTTGTTTCTAGTGCGCAACATAGCTATTACATGAAAAACCAGTCTTAGTTTCAATTTAGTAGCAAATTTTCACACCAAAAAAATTATTTTTTTGATCATTATTTCACTATTACAACCATCTCACTTTTCTCTCTAATGATCAAAAAATTCAATTATTATAATCACTACCGAACAGTCCCTTAGTATGACCGTCAAATTAGCAACTTTTGTCAATTTCAGGGACAATAGACGACAGTACTTGACATCTAAAAACTAATTTGAAGTTTAATAACCTAATTTAAACAAATTAAATCATCATAACTCAATTAAAATTTTGCTAAAAGTTGGGGACGAAGGAAGTTATAAGCTTACACAATCAAAGGTTGGCGTTACCGCTAAACTTGAGGGGGATAGTGGGACCTACATACTAACGGTCCCTTTTCTCTCCCTTCAGTTTTCACCAAACCTTTGAATTTCTGCAAACAGAAAAATGAAACAAAGCATAAAAATAGCATTTTTGAGCTAATTCTACGGTGGAAAAATTCTGTCCCCAAAAACTAACCGCAGCAAATTGACTCTTTCCCAATTGAGGGATATCAAGAATATTTGAGAGAAAATAGTGGGAGAGAGAAGTCGAGAGAAATGGGTTGTTATTATTTTTCCCGTTTGAATGAAGATTTTGTGGCTGATTAGCAGCAAAAATCCATCTTTCTTCCAAATGGGTTCTTCTTCTTCTCCACTCATTTGCATTAAATGGGTCTGAATTTTCGTAGGACAATATGGCTTCTTCTCAGGTAGAATTTGCCTCCTCCTCGCCTTTTGGCTGTGCCCTCAGGAGGGATCATAGCCACCGGACTCGATGCACCGCCGTGCCCTTCAAGAACAATCTCAATGACCTGGTTAGTACCTGTATTTCTGATGATAATTCGAACCCTCGTCATCATATTGATTATACTGATTTATGGGTTCATCAACCCCAATGGCAAACCGCCCCCTCCAGCGTTTCTGCTTCTCCTGATAATAATGTTATTATCAGAAAGAATAATGATGAAATTAATAAGAAAAATGAAAATGATCACGGGAAGATTAAGGCCAATGATGAAGATAAATGGGCGAGAGCTAGAGAAATGGTCTTTGCTGGTGATAGAAAGAGCCGTGGTCGTGTCTCTTCGGGTGCTTGTTCCGTATTTAAAAGGGAGAATTCCCCAACGCAATCTGAACCTCCGGTCGAGATTCCTAATTTACGCGGTGTCTCTTCCCTGGTTCAGAAATGGAGGGATTTCGAGGCCGAGGCCAAGTGCTTGCAGAGTAATTCGCCTCTCTGTAGCACTAGGAGCAATTCGAGCACCACTTTGGCAGAGAATGTTTCGTGCATTGATGTCCCTTCGCGACATTCTGATGTTTGTGATGAAAGACCTGTCACTAATGAGGAAACATTTGAGGATTGGGAATCGGATAGAATGGCGTCCAGTGGACCGCCTTCTTCGATGGGAAGAGATTCTGATGCCACAGAAAGGGAGAGGCTCAGGGTCGTGGATATCATTAGAAAGCTGACATCTAGTACTGAAGATAATAATGAACGGGAGCATATTGCCAGTTGCGAATCGTCGCCTCTTGTTAGAACGTCATTGGATCAATCAGAACAGAGTTGTTTTTCCTCTGTTTTGAGTTCACCACGCATTAGAGGGCGTGGTGCATTTAACAATTTGCTTGCGCAAATGGAAAGCGAGAGACACAAGGAGCTTGAAGGACTTGTAGCACGTAAAGCAGTTTCCAAGTTCTCACAGCGAGGCCGCATTCAGGTACTATTCAACTCTCAAATCGCTCCTCGATCATTGCTTGTTTAATAGCTAACAATACCGTTCTTTGTGAATAGGCTCTGCTCCGGGTTAGATTTCTTCGCCGTGGACTTGAAGCCAAAGAGGGTCGACAAGTAAACAACACATCATTTGAATTCAAAAAATTTACACAATCTGCCATTACACATATCAGGTTAGATCCTTCAAGATATGGAAATCCTGTGTGTGGTTCTTTCCCTTCATATATCGTCATGTTAATTTGCAACTGTTACTTGACAATCATTTTATTGAAAATGGATGTTTACAATATCCATTTTGTGATACTGAAGTTTAGCACTTCCGGGATTTCTTGAAAACAACATGAAGTATGCCACATCTTCGTGGATCGAATGATATACATATCTTAAATATTTACAGGGAACGGTTCAAATCAGGTGTTCAAAATCGTGCAATTGACTCAAAGAACTCTCAGAGAGAGGTCGTAAATAATGCTGCATCAGTAGAAAATATGTTGAATCAACCAGGTACACAGAATCAGCATCAAGAAACCAATAAATCCTTAATTCCCGATAAAGTATTAGAAGATCACATCCTAGATGTGGAAACCTCTTCAACAAGTCAAGAAACAAGTGGTTCCATAATTTCCCGTAAAGTAATAGCGGATCACATACTAGAAGAAGAAACCTCTTCAACAACCAAACGGCATGAAGTTGAACTCATTTCTCATTGTGTCAACGAAAATATTCAACAAAGCAGTCTCCAAGCACATGGGTCCGATTCTGAACACCTCCATCAGGAAGCAAGCCCGTTATCAGATATTATGTGGCCAGGGACAGGCTGCAAAGCCAACAATCGTGACTTGGCTGCTTCTACAGAGGCAGAAGAACCCCTTATCGATGTTAACAAAAATAAACATGCAGAAGAAGAGACTTCAAATCAACAGCTTACCAGAACCAATCATGACTTGATTGATGATTGTGCTCATCCAGAGGATGAATGGGAAGAACTACATTCTGATTATCAGCATCAAGAAGAAAATAATACAGACTGGATAAGTGATATATCACGCCCACGTAGTGATTGGGAAGATCTCAGGCAAGCAAGATACTGTGAGATGCTTGATCCTTTCTTGGAGAATAAAGACATACCCGTGCTTCTTGAAAGGTATATCAGCTTTTATACCTTTATCAATTAGTTGCTACTCTAATGACAAATGATGTTACTTTTAAACAACTGCCTTGATCATCATCCAAGAATGTTATCTGATGCTGAATTAAAAATAAATCGAAGTACAGCTCTATATGTAAACAATAGGCAATTTATAATTCCTTTATGAGCAAAAGGATAAAGTTGCAACTTTTAAGGCTGCAAAGTATATTCAAACATTCAAAAGAATAGAGTGACATCCTATCTATATGGCAGTCACTGCCGTTGGCATCGGTCATAAGCTCATTTCTGACTATTTACTTTTTAGTGAAGAAAAATACACATATATTTAGGAAAGTAAAAATTAGTGATTAAATCTATATCAATATAGCAGTTAACCTCCTACACTTTTTTAGATTTATATTTAAACAGCCATTTCTCAAATGGATGCCCTGCTTATGGTTGTGTTTAGCAATTTTATTTTATAATGATAATGTGCAGAAGAAGTGTGTCGACTTTTCTTTCCAGTGGTCTGAGAGACCGCATTGACCAATTGATGATGTCTCGAACTCAGCAGCCACAACTGAATGTGAAGAACAATCTGATGGAGGAAAGAAGACAAGAACAAGTGATAGAGGAGGAAGATAAAGGTGAGGATGGTGTGGCTGCATTGGAAGAAGAAGAAGAAGAAGAAGAGGATGAGGAAGATGAAGAAAGGTCTTATAGTGATTATTACAATGAATATGAAGATGAGAGCGATATTGGGCAACAATATAATGATTGCATAGATCAATCTGAATCCTCAGAACCACATTCATGGCTCCACAATCAAGGTCATGAAATTAGCGATGACTCTTATCGGGCTGCATCTCCATCTGAGCAACCATCTTTATCGTCAAATACGTACTCCCTGGATAATCGTCATCTCTCTTCCTTTACTAACCACCATACAATTGTACGTTAGTTGTTTGATCTTCCTGCATTGATTTTTTTGATCTCTATTATTATTTGAGATCAAATATAAAGATTTTGGCTTACAGGAAATGGATCTCATAAATGACTTGAGAGAACAAATGGAGCAACTCCACCAAGAGATGTCTGAACTCCGAAGATCAATAAAGAGCTGTGTCAATATGCAGGTTAAATTACAACATTCCATCAAGCAAGATGCTGCCGCTCTAAGTCATTCAGGTGATTTTTGAAATTGCGGATGGTTGGATGCCTTTTACATAGAATGTTTTTCAAATCCTGATTATTGATTATAACCCCTATGTTACGGATTTCTATATTGAGATTATCCTGTCTTCATGGCTTATGTGTGTGGTTGTGTATAAGAAAAGTTCTATTAAATTCACAATACATTTTCTATTCTCTTCTTATTTGTCCAATCTGGAAAATGAACTTAGAGTTGATGAAATGCAGATCGAAAGAAAAGAAAAGATTCAACAAACAAAGGCCCAAGCAAAGGAAGATGCAGTATTTGCTGCGAAATGCAAGTTGATTCTGTTTTGTACAGGTACCTCAACTGTGTAAAATTTCCACGAATCTATAGTCATTTGAAGCACACAGCCTCCGACAGTAGTGATGTTTTCCGGGAAAAATTCCATAGTACTGATTTTAGCATGTCTTTTCTGTTCCTTCAGATGTGGGCATATGTGCACCTGTTTCAAGTGTGCTCATGAGTTGCAGTGGAATAGCGGAAAATGTCCATTGTGTGGAGCTCAAATACTGGATGTTGTGTGCATACGTGCTCGATGAACCCAATGTTGCCCTACTGAACTGACCTTAAATATAAAATTTGACCAAAGATAACTTGAGGAACAATAATGTCCTAATTGAGTTTAATTTTTCTTCATTAGATTTCTCGCCATTTTAGTTTTACGTTATTTTTGTTGCTGGAATTTATCATATCAAATTTCCAGTTTGTTTAGCAGATTGATTTGATTCTCCATCAGTCTAATTGATTATTTAGTGCTGACACAAGAATCATGGGTGAATCCATTGCTCTTCTAACAAATGGACCCATCTTTGTAAATCTGATTAAGATGCTAAGGTCATAAGACATTTCAAAGATCAATGCTGGAATTTTTCATATGGTCGACAGTGTTTAGAGAATGTTTTGTTTCTGGCCGAGCCTCCAAGCTCAAGGACAAGAGTCGTGTGGTTGTAAATATGAAGACTGGTGCATATGCTCTTGTTCACTCCTTTCGAACATCCATAGAGTAACATTCAGCTATGCTGCTACTAAATATACGATCTAACCATTTTTAGGCCACATCAATGTAGCTTTGGATCCTTGCCCTCGAGAAATGAATCAAGCATTTCTACTTGAGCTCCATCATGGACTATGTACAGCCCAGCAGAAAACGAAGGGGACGAAAACAAAAAAGAAAGTGGGAAAGGAGCCCAAGTTCACCTATGCGAGAGTGAGCAATAAAACCAACAACCAGCTTCTTACTTTTGATGTCCCACAATTATGCTCCACCCCCTTGATTCCTTACGGTAATGATTCCCCTGGCATTATGACCTTTACAACAATGCTGCATTTGATTCTTGAAAAATCCATATCACTTTTGCTTCTATTATAATACTCTTTCCCCTGAGAGAGAACAACCCTACTAGGTGTATATAGGGGTTCAAGGAACCCCTACCGACACCTCACAATTGTTGGGGGGGGGGGGGGATTATTTTTTTTTTCCATTTTCTAAATGGAAAAATTAGAGCAAAATGGATGTAGTAGCGGCAATATTTGACTGAAAACATGCACAAGAATACAGCCATATATACTTTTTATTTTCAAGTATTTATAATTTTTTCGAAAGCTCTAGCCAATCATGCTAGTAACCCTCTAGTGCAAGATTGGATTGTCTGCACGTGCATGTATTAGCAGATTCACCCTCTGTGGTACTTCTTCCCCCGGTCTTCCACAAGTCTAGCTTGCAACTGATGAAATATCTTGGCCAGAACAACCATTGCCTTCACTTATCATTACAACAACCACTTGAACTAACTCCTAATTAAATCACTTGTGAACAAGTCCAAGAAATGCAGATATCTGTGATTTGCCGAGGCATAGCCCTGAAGCATATATAGAAGCAATAAGAAGAGAAAAGGTCACGATTATGCTAGTGCAAAGCAAAACTCAGCTGAGGTCATTCCAAATGAGTATTCGCTTAATGAGCATCTTCTCTCCTCCACCCGACCTCTCTTTACAACACACAGACATTGGCATATCCCTGTCTAGAATTCCAAAGCAACACACTCCATTGACGGAGCCAGACGTTTTGAGTGGGGGGTCCAAATTAACTTGCAAATTATTTTTGAAACAACATAACTGGAACAAAAATATTGTGATATCTAATTAGAAACGTTTCCTACACGTTTTCATATTTTGAAAGCGTTATATAATTACATCATTGTCATTCGTATCAAATACATCTTTCTCAATATACACAATCAAACATCATTGATCTCCAATTTGATTGTGTAGTCTATTCCTGACATAATTCATTGTTGAAAATGCTCTCTCTACCATAGCAGTAGCAATTAAAAGAATTAATGCCACAGTTTGTAAACTAATGGGTACACTAGTGCTTTTTGGACACCACCAACTCTCGTGCAAGTTTGCTAAGCCCCCATAGATGTCCAAAATCTTTTTCATTGCACATATCAATGATGTAGGTCTCAAGTTGATCACCAAGTGTGAAGATCAATATTGCTTCAAAATCCTTTAGATAATACTCACATAGTTGAAGTAATTAGTTTTTGTCAAAAGCAGAAAATAAGTTACCTGGATATAAACATGCTATACAAAGGAGCAAGTCAATATTTACCTGGGAAAAACGATCATCCAATCTTTGAAGTTGCATATCAATGATGGCATAAAATAAATCCCCGTAGAAATTATTCAAATTTGTCGCCATGTTATGTCATGTACTACCTAGTTGTGTAAACATATCATCCACATATGAAAATTAATGTTATGCTCTCCACATAAAGAATAAATCATTCCTAAAACAGAATCACATTCATTATGCCTCGTTAGTTGGAGCCTTTGTTTATATATTTTCACAAATCTTAGGGTACTCACAATATTTTCATGTTTCTTCTGTAATGTTTTTCGAAAATTCATTTGAAATTCAAACATTTTTCATGAAGTATGGATTAAATGTGAACTCAAATTTCAGCATTGCCTCGCTAAATCACGAACTTCACCTTTTTTCCCCAATATGTAATCATCTCAGCAACATCAATTATACTTGAAAACATGCAAATCTAGTTAACCAAACAACCGTATTGAGAGCCCCAATGTGTATCACCACAACATTTAAGAATTATTTTCTTGATTATGGCCTTGTCCACTTGATACTTCACTGGCATTGAGTGCTTCGAAAAAATTTAGTCTTTGCTTCTCTCGAAGAAGATCACAATGCTTAATCGATCCTCCAGAATCATTCATCAAACTATAAATCAAATCATAGAATGTATCAATCTTTGCATGCTTATTTCTCACAACTACAAGAACTTGTTGAAGTCGATGAGCAAAGCAATGAATGTAGTAAGCACTCAGTTCTTTTTTAAAATAAGTTCTTTGGGAACATTATAATCACCTCGCATATTACTAGCTTCGTCATAAACTTGACCTCTCAAATTAATTATATATAAGCTAAATCTAGAGAATAAATGTTCAATAGCAATCTAAAGTGAGAGAGTTGTGATACGTGAAACATGTTTGATACCAATAAAATGTTACATAACATGCCCATTCTTCACATATCGTGAGACAATTGACATTTGTGCCTTCACTAAAACATCAAGGGATTCATCAACTAGACTTAGAAAATAACACATTACCAATATCTTTCACAATAACACTCATTGACTCAAAAGAAACAACACTTACAATATCATTTTTAATATTTGGTGAGGTTAATTTGAGATTTGTAGGAGCATTCTTCAAAGCAACAATCCTAATCTTGGCATTATGATCACATAACCAATGCAATAGTTCAAGAAAATTTCTTTGATTGTTTGAATCTTAAGATTCGTCACGTCCATTTAAAGCAAACCCTTGTTGTAGAAGGTTTTCTACACTATCGATTGAGGCTGTCAAATGAATTCGATATTCATTTCACATTTGTTGTGATTCCTTGAAGAAACTAACTCTACACTTTGTTCTCGATTCTTGAATGATCCATATATAATTCGAGCTGGTGGTGTGCACTACCTAATTTTCTTAAATATCTTTCAAGTCTACTTTCTTTTTCCAATATGATTACATCAAAAACGAATGAATCATCCCTTGAAGCAAAAAATATGGCATTAGAAGCAAAATACGAGATCTTTTGCTAAACTATATTCCAACCAATCAGGACAAACGTCAAACCTAATTAGCACGGTGGAACTTATGATTGAGAGATTTTAATGAACCCTTATGAATTGCTCTTTAGATTACATCTCGAACATTAACATTATAATCCTGGATCTGAAAGAAATTGTGAAACATTAATTTTAGCTGAAAATATGCCTCTCAATTGAATTTCATCTCTAACACAAAATTCATCCCCGATATCAAAATTTTCCCCTTCATCTCCTACATCACTTTCACCCTTTTCATCCCCGGCACACATCATCCTCAAGATCAACTTTATCCATTTTATCCCCATCATCAACTCCTTCCCAACATCAATTACATCCATTGCATTCACAACATCTCGAACATCAATTTTATCCCTTTTATATAGAACGTTCCTTTCATCAATATTATACTCGCCAATATAAATTTGATATTAACATTTGAAATATCTCTCCATTACAGTTTGACATTGAAACGATTGTATTAAAAAATAATGAAATAGATATTCCAACAATCAATTCTCAATTCCAAAATACTAAAAAACATGAGAATAAGCACTTCCAAATAATCAATACTAATAAGCCAATAAGTAATTCCATATTTCTAATTAATTCTAAATAAATGAAAAATAAGAAATACTAATTTTAAAAAGTACCAAATAAGCAAGGGCTAGCAATTGCTGAGTGGAGAAGAGTTGGTATATTTTGATATTTAATTGTTCATTGCATTTCTTTTAATAGGTTTTTGGAGTTTTTGGAATTTAGAAAATGAAAGGTGAAAAGGTAGAAGTTAATTATGTTGGTAATCTATTTATATATGTACAGCGGAATTTAAAATAATTTTCGATTCCCACCAAGAATCGCCTTTGTGTTTAAATAGAAATTGTGATAAGATTGTATCTTTTCCAAATCTGCAAACTTCTTTACTATTCTTTTCATTCCAACAATCTTAATTCGCCATCCACAGCTGTCCAATTGTCTAGCCTCTAATGGTAATCCACACAGAGAACAAGATTGCAGCTACCAGGATTTTTCTCTTGTGCCAGCAAGAATAATGAAAAATCATATGGACCTCAAACCCTAACTATGTATTTATATAAACCCAAACGGGTTCGGCCTGGTCCGGTCAAATATTTAATTAATCCAATTAATTAAACCCGGTTCGTAAATTAATTAATCCAATTAATTAATTCAGGAATATAAATAACAAATTCAATTGATTAATTTATCTAACGATTGTTAAATTAACCAATTGGTAATTTGCAATCTTCTAATTCTCTTTTGTGTGCGACCCATTAGGTTCCCGACCAAGATATCTAACGACGTGAAATATTATTTTGATCTAATCAAAATTGATAAATTAAAACACCCTTTTAATTTATCGTCAATTCCTACTCGCCGTCCCTAATTGACATCTAGATATGTGTTAGAGCAATACATGTGACGAGAAATATTACGTGATATGACAAAATCAAATTCGTTCGTTTATCGTGAAACTATAACCCCTTCGTCAACATGATCCGATCAATTACGGGATATGGAATTATGTCAATCTCGATCATCGATCATATCTTTCACTCTACTTTTAAGTCAATATAAGTCGAAAACTCCTTTTCGACTTATGAGTACACCTTGACCAAGGATTTCATCATCGACTTAATTGAATGAAACGCAGATCATAATCTCCTACTATCTAAGAGTGACAAATCATTTATTGATCAA